CTCCGGCATCCCTCGACCCTCTCGGGGTGGGGGCTCTGGCGGACACCGGTTGCTGCACATGGCAGCTTTACGCGCAAAGCCTGCCTCCATCGGGCGCCTAAATTTCACACCGGCCTCCCGGACGCCTTCTTCACAGCGGCACGCAGCGTACCGCACGGCCCGCCTCCGAAGTTTCTTCTGGTCGGTTTTGAACCCCCAGCCTTATTTTTAAGACGCCGAGTACTTGGGACAGAAGAGCGCGTCCTACCTAGCAGTTCCTCGGGTAGATGGCTGCTCTCGGCTGCAGGAAATGCAGCGCCTAGCACCGGTGGGGGATAGGGGGTTCGTTCACCGAACCGGCAGCGTTTCGTAAAGGCAGCTGAGCCTCAATACCGACCCAAAACAAAATACAAACAGCCCTTCCCCAAGAGGAGACGCTGACCCGCCTATTCAGTTTCAAATCCGTACGTAGCGGTTTCTCTTCCAGGATGACGGGGAGCCAGGCAAAGTTCTGGAAGTGCATTTGAAATGCAATCTCCTCCTCCCCTTTAAAAAAAAAAAATAAACACACTTTTTCAGGAAAAAAGACAATTAACAACACACCTTTTCAATGCCGCATCAGATCGCTCAGCAGAACTGACTTTCTGTCTGCTCTCAGCAATATGCATAAAGTAAAAAGCATAGCGCGTAGTTGCTCCGAGACAAAACCAACCATTTAATTTTATAGATGTCTGGTGATTTTTTTTTTTTATTAACACATGGAATTATGCAAACATATATAATAAACAGAACATCATGAAATCGCATCAGTGAAGGATTCACTCTTAATATATGTTGTTCTCGATGATGCACCAAGTGGTAGAACATCACATAAAAAAGACATGAAATAAGAAACACCGACATTTGGGTGAAGGTGAATTATTCTTTCACCTTATCTCAGTAAAAATCAAATCTCGACTCCTTCATGTTGCTTTACATGCTTTTCTCGGAATTACAGCGTTAATGAGAGCCCTTTACAACGTTAAACTCTGAAACTTGCCTATGGTGTATTTACACGATCTGTATAAAAATATACCATGCTTTCTCAGGTTTTCTAGTATAATAAAGTCAATCGATGCACATTCAAGCTATGGAAATAAAAACTCTGTCTTTTTTTCAGACAATGCTATCCAAAGAATTAGATGGGTTAACATTATGGTCTTCTTGGTCCCACTACTTTTTTTGAAGATGTTAAAATTGTTTTCAACCCTCCACAAGTCATGAGTACGGCCTCACAGAAAGTATGAGGAAAAATTGTTTCAACACTATATTAAATCATTTTTCTTAAAGGTTGTTGGGACATGAAGTGGGGGAGAAATGAAAATACTAACAAAAGGCCATAGGTCTTTGATTCTTTTCAAATAGTGTCTTAAAATGCATCCTAATTTTAATTGATACTTCCTTTTCTTTGAGTCACCATCTTACTCATTTTGGGTTTTTTCTTGCAATCATTAACCACAAAGCCTAGAGTATTCAAGCTGGAATCCCGTCCACTGACTTTAGATACCTCACTGAGACGTTATTACCTCAATGAATTTTAGGTGTCTGGGCCGTGGAAGGGATGAAGGAGGAAATCTGATTGCCTCAGCTTCACTGTACAGGCAGTGAGAGGCTCTGCTGAAGACCTGCAGGAGGTGACTACTTCCTCAGAGGTGCTTAGAGGGCTCCCTTCCTTCCTTCCACTGACAATAAGTGAACTTACAGCACCAGTGGGCTAAGCCAGCCTGCAATTAGAGGACAGTTGCCCTCTTGGAAAGTCATCCCAGGAACTGGTAGCCCTCCATCTACACGTGCTCCAGCCTATCTGTCTCTCCCGCAGGAGTGGCGCTAATGAAGCGGTATGTGATCACGGAGCTTCCACAAACATTTTGCATAAAGATGCATAAAGCCGTAAGAAAGGAAGTGGGTGATGTTTCTAGACTCTAATTAAGCCCTGAGCTCAGACTCCCCAGCAGAATGGCGTAATCGGCAGCCATCAGGTATCCTGGATGGTTGGTGTTGCAGGGGAGAGCCTGTGCAGCCAGGAACACGCAAGGCACGGGGCCGCATCGGAGCAGACAAAAGCGAACCCAAGGCTAGCCTAGCAGTTCAGACGCTCTCTGGCACAGGGTGGAGGGTTATGAGGATATGGCCTACTTTACTTCTTTGTTCCATGACAAGCTCCCGCATGACACGTCTTTTCCACGTATGTCAGTTTGCTCCCCTTGGTTTTGCTCCCCATGAGATGAGGACCGGAGACAACAACTCCTTATATCCACCACGCTGTGGTTCAACTTCAGTGGTTTTCATACCGAAAATTAGGGCTTGTGGAAAACTCTCTAAGGCTCATCTTGAAGTTTCAGCAAGCAGGCATTCTTTATTCACAGCGCTGGATGCACGGGGGATAGTTCCGCCTGACATGCACGCCGCACAACCAAAAGCATGTAGTCTATACAGGACGAACATATATGTCTTCATAAAAGGCAGTCTTACGATAATGAGTTAGGTACATATTCTCCTCCCAGTCACGCATGCTCAGTGATTTGAGGCGGTGGTCTTTGGGGGTCCCCAGTGGTTGTTTTCGAGGGGTCTCTCAGTGCCCTTTTCCATGAACTCTGAGCCTTTCTTCCCTACGTGGTCACGAGTTAGCTGGCTGAGCGGTTTGTCACAGCCTGTCGTGATATGTGCTGCTTTCAGTTAGCTCCTCTGTGCTTATCTTGGGTGCTGATGTTCTTAGTTCCCCTTATCTTAATGTCTGAGGATTTCTTCAGGGTGTGACTTAACGAGCTTGTTCAAAAAGTCTCTAGACAAGTTAGCACCTTTTCGCTGTGAGTTATAGTTTACAGATATCAGGCTGAACCTTTCAAAGAATGGGTAAGTAAGTTTTACATTCTGTATCAAATTCCCCCTTTACTTGTGGCTCTTCGTCTTTATTCCATATAGACAAAAGCCTACACTACTTGGTTATATTTGAGATTGAGACACAGTTAACTGTATCATTACACAGGCCAGTACACAATTTAGGATTACAGAGATTGCTCCCACAAATAAGTTAATACTTTATATATTTATATATTCCTATAATCATAGGAATGCACTGTATTAATAGACAAGCTAGCAAGATCATGACAATAATAAGAATGACAACTATGAAGATTTGTTTAACCCAGGTCACGCTCGGTAGCCAATTTGTTAGCCATGACCAATCCAGCCCTTGTGTTTCCTTAATACCATGGGCTAATTGTTTCACATCCTGTATTCTACTTTCTATCAGCTAGATAGCTCTGGGTTAGGCAAAGGTAAGTTACACATGACCACCAGATAGTATAGATGCCATACTCCAAATTAGAGTAAATATATTTGCTCACGAACTGTTCTCAGGAAGAAGCTTAAATTTTAGTCTAAGAGGTGACTGCTGTTCCACACTCCAAAGGGCAGGGGCCCTTTTTAGCCTAGAGTAGTGGATCCACGGTCCTTTGTTCCAAACCTTTACAGCAGTGTGAGTAGCTAGAATAACTTGAAACGGT